TGCATTTCAACAAAATGTCCTTGGTCCCTCCTGTATTTTGTTTTATGGATTTACAAATGTTACTTTGAGAAGAGGCCCCTAGATTCTCCGGGCAGACAAAAGCAATTATAATTTTGTGGGCCTCTTTCTTCATTTAAACAAACAAACAAATAATAAGTGACATGTTACAAAAGCATTGGTATAAAGACGAATATAATCCAGGCTGCAATTCTATTCCTTTTTTTTTCCCTTCTGATGTTAAAAGAAAGGAAAACACTTTGGAGTGCCCCTAAAGCATGATGATGGTCCAGAGTACACGTCTTAGCTGTCTATACCCCATGGATCAGGCCGCTCTGGGTACAGGACACCCAAAAGGGTAGGGCACCTACGCATTCTAAAAAGTCGTGTTTGCAGCTTCAAGAGATGCCACCTTGCTTTCCCCTCCCCAACACACAGGTTTGCCCAAACTCCTCCTGGATGGCCGAGACTCCCTTCCTCCTGATTTTGGGGCGCCCCCACCCACCATTTCCCAGCCCCTGCTGTATCTCCCGGACCGTCGATGGCCTGATTTTAAGTGGCGGTTCTTTTCTCACTAGCCGGTCCCCCGCCCCAGGGCAGGCCTTGGCCCCTCTGCCCGCCTCCCCCAGTGGGGTGCCCAGGGCGCGCGGAACGGGGGTGCCCGCGCTGCCGGCGGGGGGCGCGCCGGGCGGGGGAGGGGGCGCGCCGGGGCGTCCGCGGGACTTTCCCGGTTCCGCTGGGAAAGCCTGACCTCACCTCCTCCCGCCCCGGAAAGGGCGGGCCGACCGTCCCCGCGCCTGCGAGCTCGGCTCCCCGCGGGCACCGGACAGGCCGGCCGGCCGCAGACCCCGGCCCCGGGGACGCGAGGTGAGCGGAGGGGGCGAGGGGCGAGGGGCGAGGGCCGCCCGGGGAGCGGAGGGAGGCCGGCTGGGCAGGGCGGGCGGGTGGGTCGGGCGCCAGCTGGTAGCTGCGCGCCCTGAAGGCTGGACGCCCGGGCTCCTCGCTTAGGTTCCTGGTCCGCTGTCTCCCCGCCCCCCACCGGCCTCAGAGCTTCTGGCGTCCATGCGCTGCGTCCCCACCTCCCACCCCCAAGGCTTCGGGTCCTCCCCAATCCCCCATCTCTTCCACACCCTGAATTTCTTCCCAACCCCCCAGATCTCTCCCTGGCCTTCCAGATCTCCCCCAGCTCCCCATTTCTCCCCCATGTGTCTGACTTCTTCCGAAACCTCAGAGCTTTCTGTCCCAGCCTCTGAACTCCTGCCCCAGCACCGCTGGCCCTCCCCCCAGCCCTGAGTGCCCACCTCTCCCAGGGACCCCAGAACCCCCTCCCACGGTGATCCCTGGCCCAGCCTGCGTCAGCTGAGAGGGGGATCTCCAGCCCCTCACCCCCCATCCTTTTCCGTGGGGCCGCTGCAGGTCTGCCCAGGACGGGCACTGACCCCAGTCACAGCCCAGTCGGCCCCAGGTGGACAGGTCCGTCTTCCTTTCGGGGGGTTGGAGGAGGGGGTGCCACTGTGACAGGCAGGCTGGAGGTCTCCCGAGTGACTTCCACAGTTTGGGGGGGGGGGGGATAGATGAGTGGGGCAAGTTCCCGAAACTGCCCAGGTCTCTGTTTACTCCTCTGATAAAGGGGCAAACATTAAATCTCCAGCAGACAGTTATGAGGTGCCTGCTGTATGCCAGGAGACACTGTGCAGTAGGTTGGGCACACAGTAGGGACCAAGTGGTGCCCTCAATGGAGACCATAGTCAAGACAATAAGCAAAACTGAAAGGTCACAGGAATGTTTGCCATGTAGATGTCAGATAGTTTCCTCACTGGCCTGGCGGGAGGGTTCCTCTGAGCCCGGCGTGGGAGGGGTCAGCATGTAGTAGGTGCTCAGTAAACACTTCGGAATAACTGTCCCTTCGGTTTCCTATAATCTTTCTGAGGCAGCCTGGTTATGTTTTGCCTCCCAGGTTTTGTAACATTTCTATGTTTCAGGCCCAAAGTACAAAATTCGTGCAGGAGTAGGCTTTCCTTCCCCTGGCTGCCGGCACAGCTTCCCTCCGGCCACAGCTTTATCCAGAAGGACGTCTGATCTAATTAGCATATTATGCTTTTATTATTATAGATTTACTTATTTATTTTTAATCTTCACTCAAGGGTATTTTTCCATTGATTTTTAGGGAGAATGGAAGAGAGAGGGAAAGAGAAACATTGATGTCAGAGAAACACATTGATTGGTTGCCTTCTGCATTCGTCCTAACCAGGGCCAGGCTCCGGGGAGGAGCCTGCAACTGAGGTACATGCCCCTGACAGGAATCGAACCCGGGACCCTTTGGTCCGAAGGGGGACGCTCTATCCACTGAGCCAAACCGGCTAGGGCTTCTAACATTTCTTACCGTAATTAGCCAGAAGGAGTGACTTGTGCCCCTTCTATGCACCAGTCCTGGCGGGAGCAGACGAGGCTCACTGTTGGTTGTCCCCCACACTAGGAAGTCGGCTCCACTGTTTGGGTCTCTGCTATTTCCTTCTCCCCATCAGCATTTCAACATGTGAGGCTATTTCCATTTCTGAAACAACCAGGCAGCACCTACTTCCTTACATCCTCTCCCCAGCACTGCCTTTCGCCTCTGCACCAGTGCTGTCTCTGCTCAGTCCTGCCCCCTTGTGCCCCCACTCCCTGAGGCCGGCACTCCCCGTGCTCTCTGCCCTGCACTGACCTTCCTGGATACACCGACCTTGGCCCTGACCTTCCTGGATACACTGACCTTGGCCCTGGTGCCCCAGTGGGACCATATGACATCTGCTTAAAATGAATTTTTAAGAAACCCTGAATCATGGACTGGGGTCCCTCAAAATCAGCACTTAGGAACATTGGGGCCAGATCATTCTCTGTGGAGGGCTGTGCTGAGTACTGTGGGGTGTTGAGCAGCTCCACCCCCTTGATGACTATAGGGAGGGCATTTTCTCCAGAGTCATGACAACCAGAAATGTCCCCAGACATAGCCCAGGGCCCCCTGGGGGAAGGAGTTGTTCCCAGTTGGGAAGCACTGGTCTGGGCTGTAGATTCTCACCGTGGGGACCAGGGAGAGACAGATGGTATAGGGAGCTTACGTGGTGCTGGAGGGCTCCACTGTGCCCGAGGTGAGGCCGTGGGACCTGAGAGTGGGGTTTTTTTGTTTTGTTTTTTTAAATACATTTTATTGATTTTTTACAGAGAGGAAGAGAGAGGGATAGAGAGTTAGAAACATCGATGAGAGAGAATCATTGATCAGCTGCCTCTTGCACACCCCCTACTAGGGATGTGCCCACAACCAAAGTACATGCTATTGACCGGAATCGAACCTGGGACCTTTCAGTCTGCAGGCTGATGCTCTATCCATTGAGCCAAACCGGTTTCAGCTTAGTGCACCATTTTAACAATGCTACTTGTATCAGTTAGCTACATACAGCCGTGTAACAAATCACCCCAGAACTCGGTGGCTTAAAATCAATACCTATGATCTCGCACAGTTTCTGAGGGTCAGGCATCTAGGGGCAGATAGGTGAGTGGTTCTGTCTTGGATTCTTTCATGAGGTCACAGTCAAGCTGTCAGCTGGGCTGCTTCACCTGAAGACTTGCCTGCGGCGGAGTCAGTGGGGCTGGAGTGTGGCTGGTGGCAGGGGCCTCAGTTCCTTTCCACGTAGGCCCTGCCACAGGTCTGCTCACAGCATGGCTTACCCCTGACAAATGACAGAGAAGGAGAGTGACTGAGCTCAGCTGGTGTGGCTCAGTGGTTGGACATTGACTCATGAACTAAGAGGTTCCTGGTTTGATCACATGCTAGGGTTGTTGGCTTGATCTCCAGTAGGGGGAGTGCAGTAGGCAATCCATCAGTGTTGCTCTCTCATGGATCTCTCTCTCTCTCTGTCTCTCCCCCCCTTTCTCTCTCTCTCTCTCTAAAAATCAATAAAAACATATAGAGAGTGACTAAGAAGAAAGCCAGTGTGTTTTATAACTTAATTAGAGGCCCATTGCATGAAGATTCGTGCAATAGGCCTTCCTTCCCCTGGCATCCAGCACCGGTTTCCCTCCGGCACCCGGGACCCAGGCCTTTGCTCCGGCCACAGAGGAGAAGCCAAGCCTCTTCAGCCTTCAGTCTTCACTCTGCACCTGTGTATGCAAACTAACACAACATCTTTGCTTGCTGATTTGCATACTCACGCCTGATTGGCTGGTGGGTGTCACAAAGGTAAGGTCAATTTGCATATTTCCTCTTTTATTAGTGTAGATGTCATGAGTGACACCCCATCCAGTCTGCCGTTTTCTCTCGATCGGAGATCAGCTCTGGCAGTGTTGGAAGGACTACCTACAGCTGGGAGAGCCAGGGTGGGGACCCCGGGGGGCCATCCAGGAGGTGGACTGCTTTCCTTCCAAACATGTGTTGAGCCCCTGCTGACTTCCAGTCAACGGACCCAGAACGTTCCATACAAGAGCACAGCTCAGTTCCTTGAGACAGTCTATCAGTGGGTTTATCCCCTTCTTAGGAAGTGGAGTCTGGCGGTCAGGCACACACACCCTGTGGAGCCAGACTGCCGGGGTTCCGATCCCAGCTCTGTCACTCCCTGGCTGTATGACTTGGGCAAGGGACTCCACCTCTCTGGCTCACTTCCTTCGTTTGCAAACGGGGGAACAGCAGCATCTACCTCGTGGGCGGTGCCAGGAAAGTGTGGGCTGGGATCCTCTCGCAGAGGAGGAAACGTGTTGGGGGAGGGGACACAACTTGCCCAGGGTCCTCCTGATGGGAGAGGTCGTGGTGGCCTCTGCCGGCAGGTGGGTGTCTGGGCTGCTTCCCAGGCACCTCGCCGCTTGGTGGTGACCACATGTTTCCTGCTCCCCGCAGGTCTGCTCCCGGAGTCCCCTGGAGCCCGGCATGGTGAGCGGGTAGGGGACGCTGGGCGTGCAGGAGGCAGGGGTGTGGAACATGCCTCCACCAGCCAGCGCTTCTGCTGCCCCCGGAGGCCGCGCCCAGCCTGCCCATGGCCTGCACGGGCCCGTCGCTCGCCAGTGCCTTTCGCGTCCTGGGCGGCGCAGGCCAGGACAAGCTCCTGTACCTTAAGCACAAGCTGAGGACCCTGCGGCCCGGCGGGCGGGGGGCCGACCTCCTGCACGCCATGGTGCTGCTGGCGCTGGGCCAGGAGGCCGAGGCCAGGATCTCCCTGGAGGCCCTGCAGGCGGACGCCGTGGCCCGGCTCGTGGCCCGCCAGTGGGCCGGCCTGGACGGCGGCGCGGAGGCCGCGGAGGAGCCCCCCGACGTGTCCTGGGCCGTGGCCCGGCTGTACCACCTGCTCGCCGAGGAGAGGCTGTGCCCGGCCCCGCTGCGGGACGAGGCCTACCGGGCCGCCCTCCGCGTCTTTGGCGCCAGGGACGACCCCCAGCTCCAGGAGCTCCAGGACGAGGCCCGGGACCGGTGCGGCTGGGACGTGGTGGGGGACCTGGGCCACTTCCAGCCGCTCCACTCTGCCCTGGGCTGCCTCCCGCCCTCCTCGGCACCCCCCTCCAGGACGCGCAGCCATCCTCAGCCCATCCAGGACCCCTTGGGCTGGAGCAGGGGGTGCTCCCTCAGGTCCACCGGCAGCCCGGCGTCCCTGGCCAGCAACCTGGAGATCAGCCAGTCGCCCACCATGGCTCTCCTCAGCCAGCACCGCAGCCCCCCGGGCCCCAGCCAGCTGTGTGGGGAGCCCCCGGTGGCCGAGCCCGAGCCGGTCCCCGCAGCCTGCCAGGAGCCCGAGGAGATGAGCTGGCCCTCGTCGGCGGAAGAGAGGGCGGACGCCCTGGTGCCGTCAGCTAGCCCAGCCCCCGGGCTTCCCGAGGTGACCGATGCAAACCCTGCTGGCCTGCCAAGCGCTGCTGACGCCCCCGGCACCAGCACCCACTTCCCAGTGGAATGCACGGAAGCCCCCCAGGCACCAGCCCCCAAGTCTCTCCCCTCGCCCCCCAGAAACACCTGCCCCGTCGAGGACCCAGAGCCACTACAAACTCCCGTTGAAGATACCACTTCCCCCGCGGCCCGGCCGAGCCCACCCACCTCCTCCGCCCCCACAACGTCCCCTCCCAACCCTTCCCTCCCGCCGCCTCCCGCTCCCCCGGCCCCCTCCTCCGGCCCGTGTCCCCCGTCCCCCGAGTTCGAGCCGTCCGAGCAGAAGTTCTTCAGCTTCGTGGTCCTGCACGCCAAGGCGGACGAGCACATCGCCCTGCGCGTCCGGGAGCGGCTGGAGGCCCTGGGCGTGCCCGACGGGGCCACCTTCTGCGAGGACTTCCAGGTGCCCGGGCGCAGCAGCCTGTGCTGCCTGCAGGACGCCATCGACCACTCGGCCTTCACCGTCCTGCTGCTCACGGCCAACTTCGACTGCCGCCTGAGCCAGCACCAGCTCAGCCAGTCGCTGATGAGCAGCCTCACGCGGCCGGGCTGGCAGGACGGCCTGGTCCCGCTCCTGCCCCAGGAGACCGCCCGGTCCCAGCTCAGCCCCGCCACCGCCCGCCTGCTCGCCGGGCTGGTGTGGCTGGAGGAGCACTCCCCGATCTTCGCCAGGAAGGTAGCCAACACCTTCAGGCCTCAAACGCTCCGGGCTCGCAAGGCCCTCTGGAGGCAGGAGCAGGACGCCCGGGCCCTGCAGGAGCGGCAGGAGCACCTGGAGGGCGAGCGGCAGCGGGCGGCGGCCCTGAGCACGGCCTACGCCGCCTACGTCCAGGCCTGCGCGGCCTGGCAGGCGCAGGTGGAGCAGCTGCAGGCCGCCTTCCGGAGCCACATGCCGTTCGGGGCTCAGGTGCCCTCTGGGGGCCCGGGGCCCCTGGGAGCCCCGCCACCCTTCTCTGCATGGCCCAGCTACTCGCCACCCACCCTGCCTCCGTGGCTGGTTGGCACCCCCAGCCCGACCTCCCCCCAGCCTCCGGCCTGCCCGCCGGCCCCGCCTGCGCCCCCTCAGAGCCCGGGGCTGCAGCCCCTCATTATCCACCACGCGCAGATGGTGCAGCTGGGGCTCAACAACCACATGTGGAACCAACGAGGGGCCCCAGCGCCCGAGGACCAGGCCCGGGAAACGGAATGACCGAGGGACAAAGCCTGACGACCTTGACGCCAGACCCCCTTCAGGCTGGATCTTGAAGGACCCCCTCCCCCATGTTTAGGGGATGAGTAGACAATGGGGTCATCTGCTGTTTTCAGGACATTGCTGGGGACGCCTTTATTGTCTCAGGAAATTGTGCAAAACGGGCCTCCGTAGAGAAATATGCTACTGGGAGGCCAGAATCGGACACGGTGTTGACAGACTATGGGGATGATGGTGGTGGCAGGCAATGGGCTGGGGACCGTGAGCACCGTGCTTTAATTATAATAAGTATTTATTGAGTGCTTCTCCAGCACTGTTCTCCTCTGCGAGGCGATCAGTAAAGACGGAAACATGCCTACGGAACCAAAAGGGAAAACTGGAGAGAAAAACACACTTCTCCTTATGGATGGCTGAGCCAGGCATTTCCGGTGTCTGCTGATTTCACTGGGCAGAACCTGTCGCTCGGCTCCTCTCCGGCTGCAAGGGAACCTGGGACATGCAGGCTTCTGACGGGCCATGTGCTTTCCTAAAGCGACTTCCAATACTAGAGGAGAGGGAGAGGAAAGGGATCGGGGGTGCTGGCAGTTCCTGCGGCAGATCTTTGAGGGTGTGGGGGTGTGTGTGGCGAGTGGGCCCTGATGCCCTCAGCAAGACTGGGCTCAGATCTCACTGTGCTGGGCAAGTGTCGTCCCCTCTGAGCCTCTGCGTTCTTAGGAGTGGGTTTAATTCCTGTGTTTCAAGGTCATTGGCAAGGTGTCCCTGACACTGCAACCCCAGGGACAGTGCGAGGGCTTACTAGCTGCATATGGGCCGGGAGGGGATTCATCTTTTCTGGAGGCTTTAAAAAATCTAAGCATATTTCCATCTCTCCACACGACTTCCGGAGGTAGACGCGTCTGTGGTTGGGCCCATTGTCCAGATGGGGAAAACTGAGGCCTAAAGAGGTGAATTCTGGATTGGAACCGGGGAGATTACAACCCAAGAAGCCAAACTCCAAGGGAGGAGATGGTGGGAGAGCCCAGGAAGGCCTCTCTGGGCGGACTAAACCCAGTAGCTGCCCCCCCCCCCCCTGCTGTCTGATTTGCACATTCACTTTGCATGCCCTTTCCCTCAGTGCTTGCCGCCCCAAGGGCAGGCCTGGTGTGATTCACCCAGGCTGTCCTCCCCACTCGCTCTCAGTGGCTGACTCAGATTTTGTGAGGGCTCTGCTCCCAGCCTCCAGAAAGACGAAGTGAAACCTGGGGGAGGAAAGCTTGCCATAGGGCTCTGGGGTGGATGGGGCGGGACGGGCTTCTGGAGGTGAGAGCCAGCGGCAAATAACAATAGTGGCAGCGAATATGTGTCTCCTCTGACCTGCGTGGACTGTGCCTGCCAGGGTTTTCCCAGGCAGTGCCGTGCAGTTGGAGGTGGAGGGGAGGGGAGCAGTGAGTGAGTCATCAGCAGGGCCAGGTGATGGGAGTGTCTCCGGAGAAGGACCTTTGGCCCAAATGCCAGAGAGGCCTCCCTGAGGACGTGGTGCTGGAGCCAAGAGAAGGGACTGGCTGTGGAAAAGTCGGTGGGCTGGGGTGGGGATGGCCGGAGGATACAGCCGGGCAAAGGTCCTAGGGCTAAGCCATGTTTGACCTGTTGGAGGGACAGCTCAGAGGCCCTTCTGGCTGGAGGGGAGGGAGGGAGGGAAGGAGGAAGGAGGAGTCCAGAGAGGCAGGTCCTGTACAGCCCTGTTTGCCTTGTGGGCTACGCGGAGGACTTGGATCCTGCTGCTCCCGTCCCTCCCTCCACCCCAACCCCCCAAGGGAGGTGGCAGCCCTGGAGAGCTGTGCCCTGAGAAGAGCGGGACCTGACAAAGGCGCTCACAGGCGCCCTCTGGGGGCTGCTGTGGGAAGGGCAGACGGGGCCAGGGCGGCAGCTAGAGGACTAGGGCAGATGGGCTTATGTCATCCTCCCAACAGCCCCAGGAACTGGCCACTGTCATTGTCCCCAATTTACAGGTGAGGAGACAGGCCCAGAGAGGTCAGGTTCCTTGTACAAGGTCACACAGCACACAAGTAACCTTCAGGAGAAAGAGCCAGAGGTCTCTCTCAAATTCTGGCCCACACAGAAACCGAGCAGCCTGTTAATTCGTTGTGTTGGTTTTTAAATTCTTTGACATATCCTTGTTAACTTCATTATTTGTTTCTCCACCACACCGTGCCCACCCTGGCAGGGCCGGGGCAGGTCTGTCTTGGTCACTGTGGTGTTTTCAGAAGCCAGTACCGGGTATGGTACATACTAAACGGGTGGTCATTTTGTTAGCTGTTGAGCACCTGCTGAGTGTGAGATTGCGGGGGATTGTGGGTACACAGACCTGCTACCTGCAGTGAGGGAGGGCAATGTCGACTCATCTGTCCACGAAGCCAGCCAACACGTACTGGGGCCCTACGTGTGCAGGCCCTGTGGGCACCCTGGAGGTGACCAGGGACAATGCTGTTCTGTCCGTTCAGTGCGTATGGCCCAATGCCAGAGACAGGCTGTTATGGGGTAATGGGGACTGTGATGGGGAAATGTAGAGGGGCCCTTGGTCAGCCTCGGGGAATTGAGAAGCTGCTGGAAGGAAGGTGGAAGTTAGTTAAGACTTTAGGAATGGGCCGTGGGTTAGGAAAACAGCTGGCAAAAGCCTGCAGGGGCGGCCATGTAGAATATGGCCACTCCAGTCAGGAGGGCCATGGTTTCCCAGAGTTAGGGGCTCAGCTATAATCCCTGTTGCACTAGCGCCCTCTGGTGGCCACCATGGGCCCGGGTGTTTCTTGGGGGACATCCCATGCCCCCTCTAGGCTACACAGCCTTAAAAAAAAAAAATAGGGAAATTCTCTTGAAAATTTTCCCCTTTAAAAACTGTGAAATGTGAAGAAGGAATGGATATTTGGTTTGGGAGGTCAGTACTGTGTCCCTGCTTGGAACTTTGTCTTTCTGAGATGGACAGTTTACAGATGTTCTCCCACCTCCAGGCTACAGAAGCTAGTGCTTAGCCCAGTGTCACCGCACATGCGCAGCTGTGGCTCAGCGCAGGCAGAACGGGCCAGGCAGGGCGGGGACAGGAGGTGGGCTGCATCTGAATCTCACAAGTTTATGTGTTCAAGTGTGGTTGTCCCGCTGCTGGTGAGACAGAGGAGGTGAAAGACCTCCCCCCACCCCCACCACAGGCCTCCCCAATCATCAATGTAGCACTACACACAAATGCACAGTCAACAGGTGTGTATCTAAGTTTACATTCGGTTGAACAAGGAATACATTCTCATTCAAAAGGTACCAAAGAGGAATCTGGATAAAGTTGCCCTCTCTTCTCTGTCCCCAGCCACCCACTTTCCCTCTATTGATTTGTATCCAATCCCTGCCCTAGCAGCAGCCAGAGGACCCCTCTGAGCACCCAAGTCGGGTCATTTCTCCCCTCTGCCCACAGCCCTTCAGGGACCCCAACTCCCTCCCTCAGCATACAAGCCCAAACCTTGCCCCTGCCCGTGTGGCTGGATGGATAGGGCATCAGCCTGTGGACTGAAGGGTTCCAGGTTCAACTGTGGTCAAGGCCACATGCCTGGGTTGTGGGCCCAAACTTCAGCGTGGGGCGTGCAGGAGGCAGCTGGTCAATGAGCCTCTCTCATCATTGATGTTTCTATCCCTCTCCCTTACCCTCCAATATAAATGAAAATATATTATTAAAAAATAAAAAAAGCCCTTCCCAGAGGCCCATAAGACCCTGCAGGACCTGCCCCCAACCCCTCCCTGCCCTTTCTTTCTCCCTCTCACTCCACTCCACCCACAGAGGCTTCCTCACTAATCCTCCAACCTGCAAGGCCTGGCCCTGCCCCAGGGCCTTTGCACAGGCTGTTCCCTCTGCTTGGACTGTCCTTCCACCAGAAACCTCCATAGCTCCCTCCTCACCTCCTCCAGATCTTTGCTCAAATGCCACCCTCTCAATGGGGGCTTCTCTGAGCACCCTATTTTTTTTTTTTAATAAATCTTTATTGCTCAGATTATTACAATTGTTTCTCCTGCCCCCCCCCCCCATAGCTCCCTTCCACCAGGTTTCTGCCCCACCCTCTGCTGTTACCTCCCCCCCCTCACCATTGTCCTCGTCCATAGGTTATACGATTTTAATCCAGTCTCTTTCTGCACCCCCACTCCCGTTTCCCCCTGATAATTATCAATCCACTCCCTTTCTTTGCCCCTGATTCTATTATATTCACCAGTTTATTCTGGTCTTCAGATTTTTTTAAAATTTATTTTTTGCCAATGCTAAAACTAAACCACATACATGTTATTTTCAAAACTTGTATGTCAAGAGCAAAACTCTGGCTATTAAATAATAACAATGCCAATGCAAAACAACAAAATGAGAAATCAGAATTATGGACATATTAATATTTTTAGCTACTAAATGAGTCTCTTTTGTTGCTGGTGTAGATTTGCTCAGAGTCCTTGGACTTGCTGCACAAGACTTTGCAGAAGACTGGAAGCTAAAGATGCTAGCATGAGCAGGAACATGATTAAAGAAGTAGCTTCCACTTCAGTCTTTAATTTCTTCAGATGACACCATGTTGGCACCTCAGTGCCTTGCGTAGCCTTCAGTTTTCCTCTCCCACTTTGCTGTCGTCTGGGCAACTCTCAGTCCTTTTGGGTGAAGGGACACACATGAGCTTCTTTGATTCCATTGTGATGATGGACTCTGGCACCCGAATTGGCTGCATTGCTCCTTCTTTCCTTTCATTTTGAACCCAGGGTTCGACCCCACAACACTCCGGGCCTGGCTGCTTGGGCCTGGATGCTGCTCCGGACCTGGCTGCTCCGGGCTTGGCTGCTGCTGCTCCGGGCCTGGCTGCTCCGGGCCTGCCATTCTTCCATTTCTCCAGCTGGTCACATTTTAAGAGCCCCATCGGTCCCTCATTGCTCTTATTATCATGTTAATTGTTGACTATGAACTACTCTGTACCTCCTTCCTGTGGTTTTGGATGATAGATGTCCTTCAT